TCGGCTTTGTGTAAGTAATTTGAATATCCAAAGGGTGTGATGATCAGTTCTTTATATGCAACTGTCCACTTAATAAGGACAAGTGTTCCAGTGTCTCTTATGACTGTGGTCATAAATGATGTTGGAATTTACTATTTTGTGAAATAGTTGGTATCCCTTTACTACTATAATTAATTTTTGTCATTCCAGGAAATCTTTGTGAAGCCAGCCAATTAATAAAGCACTTTAGTATCTGTTCAGGTAGTTTTGAAAACCAACTTTTCCCCTTCAGGATAAGAACTTCCAGGTTACCTAAAAATGCAATAAAAATCTTTATAGTCTAAGCTTCTTGGCACATAATTTTTCATCAGGGTTTTTCTTTTATTAAATGAGCACAATAATTTTGATTTTTATTTTCTGCAACCACCTAGCTCCTTGTTTAGTTTTTAATTGTATAGCTATATGAAAGAAGTGGCTAAGACATTTGCTGCACACACTTGAACTGTTGGGTCAGTAGCTTTCTGTTACTGCCCTGACCCCAGTGTAATTCAGGGGGAAACGTATTTTTATCTTACAGGGATATGTAGCTATGTATTTTACTAATTGTGAAACACTGGAAATTAATGATGCAGACAACTTGGTGTGGTCTTTGAACGGCTCTCTGCAGTGTTTTTTTCTGTTACCATAAATTGTATTTAAGTGCTTGCTCTCCTCTGCTTTTAAGTTGTACCAATAAAATCGGTAACCTCAGCCTCCCCTTCCCATTTGACACTCCTTAGCTTAAAATGATGTAGTTGTTTTAGTTATCCTTGTAATGTGACTTATTTTTAAGTCATGGTGTATTACATTTGTTTGTCACTAGTTGGGCATGTGCCAATAATTTTCTGTCCATTCCTTAATTGCCATCTCTATTTTGTCTGATTTTTTTCTCTTCAGCTGAATAACAGCTTTTTTGCATGAAAAAAATAGTTTTTACTATTAGACATGTAAAGGGAAGAGAGAGTGAATGTATTGGACTTTGTAAGCCTAAAAGGAATATTTGGATCCCTCTAATAAATAAGGGCTATGTACGATATAGAGTAATCATGTAGTGGAAGATACTTGCAAGTCATAGATTTGTAGGCAGGCGGATCTGTTACTCCCTGTATCTAGGCTGAATGTAAAATCCTTTATGTTGTATTAATGGGGGTAATAACTATTTTTATTTGCTGATGATATACTTGGTTTCTAATAAAGTGTCCTAGGCTCTAGTGAGACCTGTCTACTTTTAATTGCCAATTACTTTCTTTCCTCTTTTCCTGATATGCTCTTGGCTAGCTTTTTATTGGTTTAATGCTTTTTCCTGAAATATCACACCACTTTAAATGTGTTCATTTGGGTGTGATCCTAAAAAGTCTGGATCAAGAGCACATCTGATATGCAACCTGCATCAGCTCCTACTCCATCTGGATGACCAGAACTGTTGGAAGATTGTGACGTCTTAAACCCTGGGTTTTGTGTTTGAAATAAGGTTTGAAATATTGTTCATTGCATTAAGATTTGTGTGTTTTTGCTTTGTAAGCCCAGCACCAGGTTTTGAAAATGCCTGTATTGCGAAAGCAAATCCGAACTCTTTCTGAGCCTCTTTCGTTGTCAGAAATAGAATTCTTTCCATCAGCCTACAGAAAATTGTGTATCTGGAGTTGAAGAGATTTAACAGCACGAATCCAGATTTTTAAATGTAATTGTTTTTTAAATGCTAATGTTTGTAAAGCACCTTCAGTTCCTTGGATGAAAGGTGCTATATTCTCTCAGTGTAAACTAATAAAAAGATTATAGGAAGTTTGTCAGAAACTTTTATCTAATGCATAGTCTGTAGCCTGTCCCGACAAGAAGTTAGCGTTTTATATAACACAATTTAAATTAAAAAATGCTTATTCCTTCACTTGGTTGCTTGACTAGTAAACAGAAGTGAAACTTTTTCTTGTTCTGCATTTGACTTTGAGCTACGTTTTCCAGTTCTTTAAAGGCAAGATTCATTGTTATGTCCTGGATCCAGTGCCCAGACCCATGCATCATGAGATCATCCCAACTCTTTCAAATTGTATGTTTACAGTGTGCATTCATGCTGATGAAGTATACAGTAATAAAACACCAAAAAGCATTTGGAAAGTCCTCTAGTCTGGTGCCAGACACAGTAGATGCCTGGGGAATGTTTGTTCCTTATTCCCCTCTTAATTTTCTATTTCCTTATCAATCAGTTGGTGATTGCCTTTCCTTACCCTCATGAGAGATTATGCTGGCTTGGATCACTCAAATATTTCCTTTTCAAACTGCGTGAAATTTATGAGGATTTTGTATGTGTGTGTATCAACAAAATACTTATTACATAAGTATATTCCACTCAATCCCTGGACACCCACTATTGTTCTCAGCACTCTGCTTTTGTGTATAAATGGAATGAGATATAAAAGACTGCATGGTGGCATTATGGAATAGTGTAAAGAATATAGGCTCTGGGATCAGATGTAGGTAAAAAAACCCAGCTCTGCCAGGCAGTAATAGCTAACTTAGCTGAAAGCTGTATGTGCCCTGTTTTGTGTTTACCTTTACCATGGTTCTATGACTGTATTACTTCTTCCCCTGACCCCCTTCAGATGAAGGAACAGATTTAGATAGGTGACTTTGCCAAGGTTGCAAAGGAAAGCTGGAACTTGAACCCCTTTAGGGCATACAAGAGTGTGTCTTAAACCCTCTTAAGCCATCTTAAGCAGTATTGGTTATTGTAGCTATGTGACCCTGCACGAGCTGGGTTCTCTGGATCTTAAAATCCTGTGTCTAAAATAAGAAAATACCAGAGTTGATCTCAGGATTAAAAATAGCACACATAAAGTACCCAGTCCCTGGCCCAAAGCTGCCATTTATTGAGGGCTCATTCTAATATACCGTTTGCCCAAATTAAATGTAGATGGGAAGTAAGAATAATCTAAGGCAATATATAATTGCTGATACAGTAGCTTATGAAAGTACAAGGAATTTGGAGAAGAAAGTGATGTAGAATGGAGTAATTGGGAAAGGCTTAAAGGAGGAAGTGTGAAATGTGGACAAGAATGATGGGATGTACATTTCTTATTTAGTAAAAACACAGAAACAGAGATTACTAGAACTTGCATGTGACATGAAGATAGGACTGAGGGTGCCCCGTGGGAAGGCTTAAGAGATGAAAGCAGCAGCTCTATTGGCAGAACCATGTATCAGGAGTTGGCCAATTATAAAAGATCTTGAAAATGACACAAGACTTTAATCCCTATTTTTAAGAAATGTAATGAGTGATATTTCAAGATCAGTCTCCTAGTGAGTTGATGGCCCTCCCCACCAGGACTCCTATTCCACCTGCCACACTCTTGTCTGACAAATTATTCTGCCCCCCCCCCCTTCTGGTTTAGTTGAGATAAAGGCTGTCCATAGTTTGGTGATTTGGGGATTACATAAAAATTAGGGGAACCAACAGACGTTTGACATTTTTTTCCTTGTCAAAGCCATTTAAAACCCCCCACTACAATTTACCATTATTTCATAGAAGGAATGTCATTTTTAACATGAAAGAAAAGAGCCATCTGAGAATAAAGGATAGCCCTTTCCACCAAATAAATTCGGTTTTGTGAAAAGCTAGTGTCCTAATTTTTGCCATTTGTGAGGGTCAGTGAGAGATTTGTCCCCAGCGTGCTGGTGTGATTTACTCTAGGCTGTCACATTATTGATGCATAAAAATATTTTCTAATAAAAAGGTAATAGCAAAAGAAAGTTTGATGCCTCCTCCCAATTCCAAATAGTTGCCAAGTATCTACCAAAAACAAAAACCTGTTCATGTGGAATGTAGAGAGGCTGTAGACTACATTGAAGGAAGAATTTAATATGTTAATGACCTATGTCGTCTTCTCTCTTTTTTTTAAAGATTCTATTTATTTGGGAGAGAGAGCATGAGAGCAGGGAGGGTCAGAGGGAGAAGCAGACTCCCCGCTGAGCAGGGAGCCCGATGCGGGACTCGATCCCGGGACTCCAGGATCATGACCTGAGCCGAAGGCAGTCGCCCAACCAACTGAGCCACCCAGGCGCCCCTTATGAGCTATGTCTTCTTCTCAAGGATGGCCTTATTAAAGTATAATAGGAATGGTAACTAATACCGTGCTTATGTGCTGGTAGTCTTGCATGTTTAGGTCTGTCAACAAAAATGCAGTGAAATTTATTTTTAAATCGATTAACTGGCATTGAATTTACAATCATCTGCAGTATCACAGGATGGTTAGCACAAACTCAAGGATCCATTCTACTTAGTCCTTCCAAAATGGAACACATTGCTTTTAGTTATGGCATCAATTCTGTTTGCAGTGATGATTTTTCTTTCATGGTAATTTTTTAAACCTCTTGCTTTCTTGGAAGTCTGCACACAAGTTTGTGATCTTTTCTGCAGGGGACTGAGCATCTGAAACATGCTTTATTTTGGTAGATTCTTGCAGTTTTCTTGCTGGATCCTCTATGAAAGGTACCTGTGAGCTGTGAGACCATTTCAGCATGATGTGGAGTTAGGGACTGCATCGAGGTGGTTCAAAATGAAGCTCGTTCTGGAGAGTTACCTCACGGTCGCACCTGCCAGAGTTTGGGAAATTGCAGTGCTTGGCTGTTGGTCCTGGCGTGGTGCAGTGTTGGGGGGCGCCAGCTGGTGTGTGGAATGCAGGACGCAGAGCCGGGAGAACCTGCCGGCAGGTGTCTGGAGCCTGAGATGCAGTTTCTAGTTTGCAGCGCATGGTGGCGCTTAGGTTTCCCTTGCCCTGCTAGCAGTCTCTAAGGCACCTCCGCCGCCACCTGCAGTCTCAACCAAACCTAGGTGGCGGGATGTGACGGCCCGAGCGTCCAATCGACTGCCAGGTTTTCGGCCACACAACGGCTCTAGCCAATGGGAGTCGGGGAGAGGCGCGGAGGGGGCGGGCCCCGCGGCATGCCAGGCAGAGGCGCGAGGCCCTCCTCCCGCCTCTCCGCCTACTCCAGCCTCCGCCGCCTCAGCTTCCCGAGCGAGCCCTGCGGCCGCCGGAGCAGCTCCCGCGGCGGAGCAGGAGCCGGATGGTCAGAGGAGCCCGGCAACCCCAGCAGCCGCGGAGTCGCCTGGCCCCCAGGTGGGGCGGGAGCTGGGTCGAGGTCGGGTTTGGGGATGGGGTGGGGGCGCGGGAGCGGGCCCAGGGGCAGCGGCTCGGGGCCGTGAAGCATTCGGGGCTCCGAGACGGGAGGGGCGGGGGGTTCTGGCTGAGGGGGGATTAGGGGGCGTCCAGGGGCGGGGGAGTGGGCTGGGCGGCGATCGCATCCTCGATGCCGGGTGAGAGGGGCGTGTGAGGGAAGGGACGCCGAGGGGTGAGACTGGGGGCGCAGGGCCGGGAGGGGCAGGGCGCGCGCGCCCCGCGGACGGGCCGTGGAATGCGGGGGGCGCGGGGCCGGGGGGGCGGGGCTCGGAGGGGCAGTGCACACTCGGGAGGGGGTGGGCACGCGAAAGGGGAGGCCGGAGGGGCTTTCGGGGGTGACGAGGCAGACAATGAGTAGGTGGAGGTGGGTGGTTTTGGGGAGCGGGGCTGTGACGAATAGGAGCTGAGGATGGAGTGAGGGACTAGCAGGGAGAGCAGGGTTTGGGCAAAGCAGACATTAGGGGAACCGTGAGTCCCAGGATTGCTTGGTCTTGGTAAATAGGGGAAACAGAGCATAAGGTGTTTGTAAGGTCAGGTCTGAGCTTAGCGAGCCTGTGGTCCTAGAGGGTGGTACGCTGAGTTTTTGACTGGCACAGTAGGGCCAGGAGATGTGTTCTTATATGTTACTTTTAGTTACCGTCTTATTTGTTTGGTTTGTAGACTGACTGGCATAGTGGAGAAACCACCTCGAAAACGGAAAAGCAGGTAAGGCAAAATGCCTTCCTATTTCGCTTCGTGTTTTTCCATTTGCTTGGCTACACCTATATGCCATACTGCATAGTTATACACTGTCAGTGGATGAAGTTTTTTATTTAGCTCCTTTCGTAATGAATATAACTCCATGCAAGACCTTTCTTTTGAGGAGGTCGGAGTACTACCTGTACCGTGTGTGTGTGTAAGATTATATGGGAAAGAGACGTGGGTAATTGAGAAATCCTAGTTTTTTACTTTAGCTATAATTTCAACTTCTTCACCAGCTCTGTTTAAAAAGCTGGTGTTTCGGGGCGTGGTCGGGGGGGCACCTGGCTGGCTCAGTTTGTGGAGCATGAGACTCTTGATCTCAGGCTTGTGAATTTGAGCCCCACATTGGGTGGAGATTACTTAAAAATAAAATCTTAAAAACAAAACGGAACTAATGTTGGGGCACCTGGCTGGCTTTTCTTGGTAGAGTGTGCGACTCTTGATCTCAGGGTGGTGAGTTCAAGCCCCGCGTTGGGCATAGAGCTTACTTTAAAAAATAAATAAAATATATTAAAAGCTAATGTTTATTGAACATCTACTATGTGCCAAGTACCATGTGCAAGTGCTTTATATGTATTATCTTCTATAATCTTAAGCACCCCAAGGAAGTATGTACTGTTATCACTATTTTGCAGAAGAGGGAAGTGAGGCACAGGGAGGCCAAGATCACTCATCTAATAAATAACGGAACCCACATCTGAATCCAGGCAGTCTGACTCCAGAACTTAGGCTCTTACCCATTGTACTATAATGCCTCTAATAAACATGCAATTGAAAATAGATTTTCTTACTGCTTTTTCTTTTATCATCATACGTAGTACATAGAGTCTAATAACTAATCAAACCATAGAAAAATAGAAACGGAGGGCTTAAGTAGTCCGTAGACAAGTGAATTACTACTTGAGTGATGAAGAAGAGCATATATCCATCCCACAGACATTTTTGTGTGCGTTCCACATGTCAGATACTATATAGCAATTCTGTGTGGTCATGAGAAGATTTCTTTTGCACAGATGTAGGCAGTGGTCTAGAGAGAAAGTAAGATACAGTAGCGAGGATGTGACCAGTAGGACCACTGTCATAGTTAATACTTGGTAAGTTACCGATGTTAGGACACAGAATACCTCAACAGTAAGTAGATATGAAATGCTGATGACAGAAGTGCTACCAGCCAAAGGTCCTTTGTCATTCTGGGTAGCCATATATGACCATAAAGCACTTGAAATATGGCTGGCATGGCTGAGGAATTGAATTTTAAATTTTATTAATTGTAATTAATTTAAATTCAAAAACTGGTACTTGACTCCCTGGAAAATATTCAGTATGTTTGGAAAAATTTGGGTATGTGAATCTACTTTTTCATCTGTAAGTTTTATGAAATCTATATACAGATCAAATATTTCCAGTGAAAATTTAATGTCCAAAACAAGGTGTGCTCTAAGTAAAAATACACATCAGATTTCCGATTAGTATGAAAAAATGAATGCAAAATTTCTTATTACTAATTTTTATATTGATTATATGATGAAATCATGTTTTAGATATATTGGATTAAATAAAAGTATTACTAAAATTATTTTCTTTTTTTTTCTTTTTTACTTTTCTAACATGGCTATACAAAAATTAAAAATTATATATGTGGCTTACATTACATGTTTTTTTGGGGACAGATTTTAACTCTCATTACTCCGCTGTCAGTCTCTTGCTGTGGCCTCCTGACTGCGTTCTCTACCTCAAATCTGTAATTCATTCATCATGCTGTGCAAGTTGATCTTGTAATTCTCCTGCTTCAGTCCTTCTATGGTTCCCCATTGCTTATTGAACATAATTCAGACTTTTTAGCCTAATGATAAAAAGAGACTGCCTTTGGGGTGTTTGGGTGGCTCAGTTGGTTGAGCATCCAACTCTTGATTTCAGCTCATGTTGTGATCTCAGGGTCGTGGGATCGAGCCCCTGCATCTGGCTCTGCTGAGCTTGGAGCTTGCTTGGAATTCTCTCTCTCCTTCTCCCTCTGTCCCTCTTCTCTCTCTCTCTCTTTTGCCGCCTCCCCCCCCCCCAAAGAGACTGCCTTTATTTCACTTCTGCTTGTCTTCCCAGTGACAGTTTAATACTGTGGCCATGGAAATTCTCACTACTGGACCTCTTAAATGTCTAATATTAAATGACTTAACTTTCTGGTGAATCCTGCACAATGAATGAATTGCTGAATGTAACTCTTATGTTCTGCTTGCCATTCCCAGAACTTATGTTCTCTCTTTGCTTTGGGTTTTTGCACATGATTTCTCTTTCTCTCTGGAATACTTTCTCCTTGTTCCTTGGCGAGCGAGCTCCTTTAAGACTGTTAGCTCAAATGTCACATCCTGTGTGTGGACTTTCCCACCCTCTCCTTCACCTAATCTGATCCTGTGATAACTTGTACATATGCCTAGGTATAATGATTTGGGCTGCATTTGAGTTCTAGCTCTGTCACATAAAAGTTGTGAGATCACACGTAAGTTAATAAACCTCCTTGAGCCTCAGTTCCCTCAGCTGTATATGGAAATAATATACATATATTATCTATATACGGCTGGCTGGCTCAGGTGGTAGAGCAGGCAACCCTTGATCTCAGAGTTGTGAGTTCAAGCCCCATGTTGGGTGTAGAGCTTACCTAAAAAAAAATTTAAAAACAAGTCAGGCTCTCTGCTCAGTGGGAGCCTGCTTCTCCCTCTCCCTCTGCCACTCCCCCTGCTTGTGCTCTCTCTCTTTCTCAAATAATTAAATAAAATCTTTAAAAAAAACTTTTAAAAAGAATAATTTAAAAAAAGAAGTCCAACCCTCAGAGGGTTATAAAGTGCTTAGTATAAATAGTACCTGGCACATAGAAAGTACACAATCAATTTTATGTTAAAAAAGCAGCCATCAAATACTCTGTATTTCCCGCCTCTTTTCTAAATGTATACAGGCTAAAGGATTAAAAATAAGGTATTAAGGCAAAGAAGAAACGAGAGAAGAATAATAAACCAGTGGCAAAGTTAGTATATAGACTAGAAAATACTGTAGTTACTAAAGATGGGTTCCGTATTTGGCTCTTAGTTTTCTCAAACAAAGCAAAGAAGAAAATAAAGCTCAACTTCCAGATTCATGGTGTTTATAAAATCAAACACGTGTTTGTTTGTTTTTTAAGATTTTGTTTATTTATTTGAGAGAGAGAGGGAGAGAGCAGGAGCAGGGGGAGGGCCAGAGGGAGAAGCACGGAGCCCCCTGGGGGGCTTGATCCCAGGGCCCTGGGATTGTGACCTGAGCCGAAGGCAGATGCTTGACGACTGAAGCACCCAGGTGCCCCCATATGCATGTTGTTTAAGAGAAGTACAACTTTTTTTGATTGTTAGTTTTTTTTTAAAGATTTTATTTATTTGACAGAGAGAGAGAGCACAAGCAGGGGAAGTGGCAGGCAGAGGGAGAGGGGGAAGCAGGTTCCCCACTGAGCAGAGAACTGGCCTCTGGGCTCCATCTCAGGACCCTGAGATCATGACCTGAGCTGAAAGCAGACGCTTAACCTACTGAGCCACGCAGGTGCCCCTTGATTGTCAGATCTGAGAAAAATTTGTCTCACTGGTCTTCATTGTGGGGACCTGTGTTTTGGGGGGAGGGAATCCTAATAATAAACATAGTAGTGAGTTTTTAAAGATTGCTTCTTATAATGCTTCTCAACCCAGGTTCATGTAATGCCAGTGAACATTCTCCAAAGAGCCAAATCAGTGTATAAGTATACATCTCACTGATGGCTGGCTTGGTTCAGAGATAAACAAGGATGAAGAAGCTGCAGGGATTCTGTTTATTCCCAGCATCTAGACTAGTGCCTGGCACTTAGAAAATAGTTGGTTGAATCATTGAATGAATGTGTCCTTAAATACTTCGCTATGAATATTATTTCTTTTCTTTTAATTAACAGATTTTTTTTACTGTCTTTGTTTTTTTAAGTTTATTTATTTAATTTTTTAAATAATCTCTCCTTCCAGCGTGGGGCTCAAACTTAAAACCCCGAGATTAAGAGTCACATGCTCTTCTCACTGAGCCAGCCAGGCGCCCCTAAAACTATTTTCTTAATAATACTGAGACCTTACTTGCCTTTTTTGCTATTATTCACTCTCATTCACAGTGGAATTTTCTGAGGCTACAAGTAGGAGTGATTTCACTTCAACTCTGAGGGCTAATGGAATATGTGTTTCTGTATTACTGTGTTTAAAATTTTTCTTTTACAATCTAATATAAATATCGATGGGTATACTCACAAAGATAGTTTTTAAGAGTTGTTAAGGGGCTCTCCTGCAACCAACAAGTTTGAGAGCTGTACGAGAGAACATATTGTAAGAAAGATTAAATTGTCCTTCACTCTCAATTCTTGGGATGCTCCTTTAACAGTAGGTCCCTCCTTGAGGCGCCTTTCCTTCCTCCAGAATTGCTGCCTCTGGGAGTCCCCAGTGTGGGCTTCCTGAATATTATTTCTTGTAACCAAGTTTTAGTAAGCATCAGGCAGCAATGAGTTGAGGCTTCTATTCTTAGTCAAGAATCATGAGAGCATGTATTTCGCATGTCTGATTAGGTCAGACCCTGATCAAGTCAGGATTTAGAACTGAACGGACCGCCAGCATACATCTCTGAAGAGGTCCTGTGGACAAGACCGTGATTTTCCCCAGAAAACAGTTCTGGAATTGCTCTAAAAATAGAGAACAAAATAACTAATTAAGGCCCTAAAGATGGATTATAAAGAAGGGATGTAATGATCCTAGCCAGAAATTTTTTATAGCTGTTATTATCAGTAGCATACTGTGGCCATAAAAACTCTCAATATCAAATGAAATGACTTCCTGATTAACACTTCAAGATGAATTAATTGTTGAACTTGGTCTTAAGCACCCCTTTGAGTTGGCCTGCTGTGTAGAGTTGTTGACTGTTATGCTATATATCCTGTTATAGTTGGG